CCATTGCGGAATCTGTGTGTCAATCACTTCTTAGGTACAGTCTTTCATTTTCTATTCAGTAGTCATTGAATGTCAATCTGATAAATACTGAACTAGGAAGATGGATATGGGAATGAAATGGGACATAGGACAGGGATTAGGTGCATCCCACTAAGACAGCAATGATGTGGCTTCTCCCATAGTACTGATTTAACACTGCCCAAAATTACAAGTAATATTCTCTGTGACTGTGACCATGGTGCATTATCCCTTTATACCATTCTCAACCTGTTTGTAATCTTGGACATGGATGATCACATCATCCTCCTTCAATGCCTCACCTCCATTGGCCTGTTCATTGAGACGGCATTCATTTTATTTCAAATTCATCTTTCTGATCATGCAGAGCATCTCCAGCAATGGTTCCCTTCCTTCCCCTGCACTGTTAACTTGAAGGCCCAGTCTCTGTAAAGGTCAGTGCACAGAATAAAAATGTATCTTTCTTTCGAAATAAAAACTGAAAGAAATGCAGATACCGGAAATCAGAAACAAAACTAGAATCTGCTGGAAAAACTCAGCAGGTCTAGCAGTATCTGTGAAGAGAAATCAGAATTAACATTTCAGGTCCAGTGACCCTTCCTCAGAAGCCTGCAATTTCTACTTTGTATCTTTCTTTCATTGTGTCTGAGACTAGCTGTAGTTCTACAGTATCGCCACCAGGTGTCACCTAGCCCTAGACAACCTTCCTGCAGACACTGCTCTAAATCCCAAGTCACCAGCACCAACAGTCGATAGCACTGCTGCCTAGCTCCCGATTCCCGAGTCCTTGACTGTGAATGCTCTGTGCGGTGTGATTACGCAACAGGACCGTAACATTGGGACGTGGATCTCTTTTCTATGAAGGGGACTATGGTGATTGGAATGACGGCCAGGTGGATCCCATTGACTATGAGATCCCCAATTGGGGTTGTTAATCAGGGAGCCTTGGCTGACAGATATAAACAGGAGTCTCAGAGAGTCTCCTCATTCTAGGGATTGGCTCTGAGCTGACTGGTCAGAGTGCATGTACTGTGCACATATAACTAAAGGGTGACTTGATGACGGGGTACCGGCCTTTGTGCAGCTATTTCAGGGACACTGTTGTTTGAGATGGTAGTTCCACATTCATTGCCATTGACCACTGATTGCAAACATAAAAATACTACAAGAAAACTCTGAATTTACAGAATTAGTTGCTGCCACATATTTGATTAGCAAACGAATCAAATTTTAGTACTGCAGGTTTTTGAGGTGGAATCAGATTCAACTTCCAAAGAAGAATGTGGAGTGGGAGTGGTTGAGCAAAACTAATTAGATAGCTCTTTCAAGTCGGTCCAAAGGACTGAATAGCCTTCTATAATATCATCTGGTTTCCTGTCCTACTCATGCTTGTGTCTGTTACTGCCATGAACTCTGTCTCTGCAGGCTGGCTCTCCTTTGAAGGCATGCTGCTGTTTTACACTGACTTCATGGGGGAGGTGGTGTACGGCGGTGACCCCAAGGCCCCTCATGACTCAGAAGCATTTCAGAAATATAATGCGGGAGTGAGCGTGGGCTGCTGGGGTATGTGCGTCTACGCATTCAGTGCTGCTTTTTACTCAGGTAGGGAATTTGATCTCCTGGTGTGTGGGACTCTGTTACCTACAGGTTCAAATGCATGAGATTCCTCTTGCCACATTTTTTTATTTCCTGCTGTTTTGATATTGATACGATGAATCCTAAGTGTGTTAAATATTTTTCCAGAGTATGCAATAATTGAGTACAGGTAAAATGTCCATGCACAGAATCTCTATTGCATGCCATAAGACAAATTAAGTTGCTGACCACAATTCAATGACAGATCTTCTATAGCAAGATGCAATGACTACACATGTTACACCATGACCAGAGGGTCCTTTTAAAATATTGAATTACAGACTGTGTTCATGCTCCTGACCGCCATTTCCAAATTTCTACTGGAAAAGAACCTATGTGAATTTTGAATAAGAACAGCACAGAGTGAAAGGGCAGTGATACCAGTCACTAAATGGTATGCATGTGGATCTTACCTGAAGGTCAAGATTATGATTCAGTGGGTGAGAACAATAGTCACGGATCCATCCACTTATCACAAATGGGAAACTTAGTGTCAAATCTGGGGAATTGAATTTAGTAATCACATTGAGTAATGTGATTTGGCTCAGGAAAAGAATCAGGAAAGAAGATCTGAAATCCATAGTTTGGAAAACATATTTGAATGCAAAATTATGCAACAAGCTTACATTGCAGAAGGATAGTATGCTGACAGTATTAGTTGACGTAAAGTGGAGCATAAACCATAAAACAGGTCAAATGGTCAGTTTTGGAGCTGTGAATTCTATGTAATAATCATATAAGGAATTTGCAAAAATATGCATCTGTGCTCATTTTGCACTTTTTTTTAGTAAAACACCAAAATCTATGAACACCCACGCTGTGGGCCGGGACACCATGTTCATTGGGCAGGATGACAATGTTGACTGTGGGTATGGTGGCCATGTTCACAGGGCAAGGTAGCCATGTTGACTGTGGGCACATTCACTGGCCAGGGTGGCTACGTTGACTGTGCACAATGTGGTCGTGTTCATTGTGGGCAGGATGGCTATATTCACTATGTGCAAGGTGGCTATATTCACTATGTGCAAGGTGGCTATATTCACTATGTGCAAGGTGGCTATATTCACTGGGCTATGTGTCCATGTTGACTGTGGACAGGGTGGCCATGATGATTGTGGGCAGAGTTACCAGTTTGGCTCAGTGAGACGTAATCTTTAGCGTAAATGTAGCTTTGTTTCTTCTCTGAGATTTCTGCATGTAAACAAAAAATAAAATAGAAAATCTGGGCTTGGAAGGTGGCAGCCAAAATCTGGAAAGCTAGATACTTTCTATGATAAAGGTTTCTATGTAACATGTATTATCTTGTTCTTCCTCTTTCAGCTGCATTTGGAACTGCTGTGAATTGCCCAATTTTTCTGGTTGTATTTTAGATTTTCAACAGTTTTCTAATTTAGTTTTGTTCCTGTTGATGTACACAAGCTGCAGGGGCACCTCCGAGGCTAGGGGAATTCTTAATTGGATAGTCACACCCCAGATCTCTGCCTTTGTAGAGAAGTGTGAAACACACTTAACTTCAGAACTCATCACAACAAAAAACAGGATTTGAATATCTGGAAAATCGAGCCACAACCTTTTCATAATGTTTTTTTTGGAATGTGGAATAAAACCTGAAAGCCATTCTTCAAAAAACTGTCTTTTTGAATAACATATTCTCTATTTGTTTCTTAATTTCAGTCACTCATTAGGAAACTACCTTTATATCCCAGTTAGCCACTGAGCATCCACTTCATCTACCCTCAATTACCAAATGAAAATCATTAATAGCCCCATTTACCACACAGTATCCTCTACATATATTCCCATGAACTCAAAGAATAGCTGCCAACACTAAAAATTTAAGATCAAAGTTAGTTACCGAGTTACTGAAGTTGGTGAAAGTGGAACGCAGTGTGAAAAACGTTTACAATCACCAGGGAGCCGACCACCCTAACACATCACCATCCAACAGCCACAGCCTAAACCATCGCCACCCCACTCAGTGACCCTCCCCCTACACAGCTACCCAACACCCAACCCCCAACACCCACCACCTCAAGACCCACATCCCAACACCGCCACCCAAACTTGCATCCCAACATTCGCCACCCAATAATCACCACCCAACACCCACCACCGAGATTCCAACATCCACCACCTAATAGCGGCCACACAACACCCACCACCCAACACCAACCACCAACATCCACCACCCAATACGCAACATCCATCACCAACACCCGCATCCTAACAGCCACTACCAACACTCACCACTCAACACCCAACAACCACATCCCAGCACCCACCACCAACACCCACCACTCAACACCCAACACCCGCACCCCAACACCCGCCACCCACCAACCACCACACAACACCCCTCCACCACACACCACCTACCACCTGCCACCCAACATCTGTCACCCAACACCTGCAACCCAACATCCACATCTCAACACCCACCACCTGCCATCCAACACACACCACTCAACACGCAACACTCAACACCAACCAACCAACACCTGCCACACAATACCCAATACCCACCACACAAAACCTAACACCCACCACCCAACGTTCACATTCAATGCCAAAAACCCACTAATCCACACCCAATACCCGCCACCCAACGTCCGCTACCCAACACCCACCACCCAGCACATGCCACCCAGCACCCAACACCTGCCACCCAGCACTCAACACCCAGCACCTGCCCCCAACACCCACCGCTTGACATTCAAAATCCAGCACCTAACACCTGCCACCCACTACTCAACACTCACCACCCATCACCCAATACACTGCCATACCACATTACCCAATATCCCTCGACCCAAACCCCACAATCTAAGGTGCTATCTTCTTAGAAGTTGTATTTACATGAAAATTAACTCTGTTTCTCTCCACTCAAATACTTACTGACCTGCTGAATATATTCAGCATTTTCTTTTTTTGTTTCAGATTTCCATTCTTGCAGTATTTTGCTAATGCATGACCATCTGGCACAGTGCACCCACAATCTGACAACCAATAAACTACCATCCAAGTGTGACATCTCTGGGCATCAAACCATGGCCACCAGCAGCCAAGTAGCTGTTGTTCTATCACCTGTTTCTTATTTTCTACAGCACTCCTGGAGAAACTGGAGGAATACTTCAGTATCCGAACTCTCTACTTCTTTGGCTATCTATCCTTTGGGATTGGCACTGGCATTGCCACTCTGTCCAGGAACAGCTATGTTCTTTTATCGCTCTGTGTCACATATGGACTGCTGTTTTCTTCACTTTGCACTCTACCCTACTCGCTGCTGTGTGAATACTACCACAGCAAAAAGGTATAACCACATAAAGGTTACAAAATTATAAACTAATCATTCAACTGGTACCTTGAGTATTTTGAGGTTGAGGTACATTCTGGAGAAAAGGGAAACTGGGAGTCAATTCAGGGTGTACTTCTTTAATTAGTTTCAGACTGGGATTTGAGAGTTATAAGATAATGGAGAAGGCGATTGCTCTCTCCTTCCTTGCCTCGTGAGTATTTGATGGGACAGTGTAAACAGCTTTACTCCATATCTAGCCCATTACACATCTGTCTTGGATAGGTTTGATGGGAGAATGTAGAAGGATTTCTTTGGTATCCAAGTCATGCTGGACCTGTCCTGGAGATGTCCAGTAACTCTGGAGGAAGATGTTACAATTTGGGTTAGGACTTTGGCATTGGTGTCAAATGCTAGTTGGGAACAGTTAACCTTGATTTTGCCTTGACTAGCCAATAAATGAACAGAATGCATGCGCCAAAAGGGAGCATCTCAACAAGGAAATAGCTGCAGCCTGCCTGGAATTAAGGAAGACAGAGAGCCTCATTTTAAACTCCTTCATCATCTGTTTGGCCACCTTTGTGGAGGACACACACACACACACACACACACCCCCCACCCATCTCCACAGGACTCTCGGTGGCTGCAGCTGTGGCCAGGTAAGCCTGGGGAGGAACTCTGAGTCTCTCTGCAGTATAGCTCCCCATCACTAGTCAGCTATCAGGAGGCAGCTGCTATGCTCCCAACACCACAGGAACCCACAGGCTGAATGCAAAATTTAAATTGGCCTGTCTCCCATTGCTTTACTCGGTCTATAATTGGTGTTAACTTTTCTTTGGCTGTGGATAGCGTCAGCCTTGACCGGGGATTCCTCAAATGGCTCAGGAGAGGTATGGTGCGATAAACTGACATGCCTGCCAATAGCAGGAAATTACAGATCTGCCCACTGTCCATCAGCTCAAGAGATACCTTCCCAGCATCAATTCACCTTCAGGATGGTGTACAAAACTGGAGTGTTTAAAAGTTATCAAAGCCTTTTTTTTGATGAGTTGTGCCATCAATCTACTGTAATGACACTAATGCGAATGCATTTCTTTCTCTAACACAGCTGATGCTATTGTTGTCTAGTTTGTAGGACCGAATGCGAATGGGACCAAGCGGGGGATGGGTGTGGACATTTCACTGCTGAGCTGCCAGTACTTCCTTGCACAGATCATCGTTTCCATAGTGATGGGACCACTCACATCAGTCGTGGGCAGTGCCAATGGGGTAATGTACTTTGCCAGCCTGACCTCCTTCATCGGGTGCTTGTACTCTTCTCTGTTTGTGATTTATGACATCCCTCTTGATGATAATGGTGAGGAGCAGACTCCCCTCCTCATGAATGTCTGACTTAGCAAATTCCACTTTCAATCTGTTCAAGGAACTGACTCCTAGAATAAGCCACTGGACATTTGCACTTTCCCCAAGATCCCACAACATTAAGTCATCATTATTCAAACAGGAACAGAAACAATGAAGACTAATTCCTCCTTTTTTCTAATTGGTGCTGGTACCTCAGATATAAATATATATATAAAATATATAAATAACAAAGATGTTGACTAGTTAATTAGTGCGAGTAAAATGCATGGTTTGCAAGTGATCCGGTTCTACTCCATTCAGACAAGTGACTGACGCCTAACGGGAAGCCTCAACCACATGTTGGTCATCTAGGAGAAGCCTTGTTTGCAACATGCAGCCAACCAAGAATTGAAATGGCAGTATGTGTCTGTTTCAATTCCAGCCTTAAAGACTGACTCCATTTCTCCAGGTGATCACTATGGAAGATGCTAAGGCTTTGTTCAAGTTCAAAAGTGGTTCAAAAGTGAAATATTCCCAACAGGAAGAATACAGTGGTTCATTGGCACGGCAAGGTACTACAAATATCATAAATGACCCTCAGAAAATTCCAGCTGGCAGTTTTCTCCAATGTTTGGCCATGGTGGGAGAGTTTTTTCAGCCTGTGCAAGGACTCAGTGTATCTCCCCTACTGTGTCAACTCAATCATGAGAAACACCCAGTGAAACTGAGCTCTAATTTCATAATAACATTCATGGAAAACTCAAAATCTATCCAGTAACTCACCTCAAGCACACGGAATAGGCGAGTTCCACATTGCATCTCTAGTCTTCCCTCGGTCTTAACCAAACTCAGTTGGGTGGCAACAGCATTTGTAAATGTCCACAGTGACCTGGGTCAGGGAAATCAGCCTTGCCTACCACTTTATAAGCTATCCAGCGACTTTCTGTTTTATTCATTCATGGGGTATGGACTTTGCTGGCTAGGCCGGCATTTATTTCTCATCCCTAATTACCTTGAAAAGGTAGTGGTGAGCTGTTTTCTTGGACTGCTGCAGTCATTGGGGTGTAGGAACACCCAGAGCTGTTGGGAGGGAGTTCCAGGATTTTGATCCAACAAGTGAAGGAACAGCGATATAGCTCCAAGTCAGATTGGTATGTTGCTCAGGGAGGTAGATTACAACTGGTTGTGTTCTCTTGTGTTTGCTGCCTTTGTCCTTCTGGTTGGTAAAAGTTGCAAGTTGGAAGCTGCCGTCAGAGGATGGGTCAGCAGACATGTATGGCATTGGTTGAAGACAGAGGAAGTGCTGTTCTTTGTGAGCAAGGAGTCTGTCAACATCTCAGATGTCTCACAAGTTGCACCAAAAACATTTAGTACCATAAGCAGTAATTATTTGAGCGATGCATGGGAGAGAACTCATACTATGAATTTAGGAGGGTAAGAGATGTTCATCATGATTTATCTCCACACGTACTGGTACTATTAAAGAGTTTTGATGGTTAAACAAGTTGCCTGAATTTTAAAAAGAAGTATTACTGCAAGTACATTGACAGCACATTATAAATATTACAGTATGTGCATACAGGCAAAGATTTTGTGTGTATGTACCAGGGAATTATAACATGGTTAGACAAAGAGTAAAGCTTCCAATCCACTGCCCCATCAGATACTCACAGGGTAGGTACAGATAGTTTCCTGCTGAGGTTATAAGTAATTATTTTCATTGAGCATTACTATACTCAGTCCCTCTCAGGGTTCAGAGTGTACTTCCCCTTTTCTGGTGCAGTGAGTAGAATCTAGGCAGCACAGTTTGGAAAACATAACAACATTTATTGCCTCCCTATAGAACTTGCTTTGGGCAACAAGGCAACTGAAGAACATGACACACACCTTCTCTAAAGCTTGATAGGTAAACATGCCTCTATGAAATCATGATGGGGAACCTCATTGAATTACTTCAATTGAGCTCTGTGTGTGCATCAAAATCACCGGACTTCAGGAATAACCATACTGTCCTGTGCAGAGCAAAAATAATTTCATTTACCAAATCAACCTTCACATTTTGAATGAGAGAGAAAGGTCTGTCATCAAATGTATGAACATTGCTCACCAGTTAGAAAGGAACCAAATGCACTTGTAAAACGTATTTGACTTGAATATGAATGACACAGTAAGTACCTTGGTTTAAAAAATATGAAATTAAAAATGCCTTATGCAAGCTGCTGTTCTCTTGTCTATTTTTGTTGAACATTATGAACCAGCCACTCCCCAGGTTCAATTCCTGGTTTGTGTTGAATAGGCTGATCTCAACTTGACTGTATTACTATAATTTTTCTCAGTGCTTTTGAGTTAAAGTCATAATTAGCCAGCATTCTGGGTTGACTAGCCCACTAAGCCGATTTTCACTGATCTCTTATACTGACCCAATGGAAACTTTCTGCTTCACACCACAGTCTGAATCATTTTCACTTCATCCTAGGATCAGAGTAAGGAGCTTTGCTCTCTTTATATTGAGATTTATGTTTACAGATTATTGAAGTGATTACACACTTTTAAACATCTTAATTTGTTGTACAGCGGAGGGCGCTAGAGACACACTTCCCTGACCATCAACCTCACATTGACAGAAGTTGCTGGAGAAACTCAGCAGTTCTGACAGTATCTGTGGATAGAAAGGATTTTAACGTATTGCATCCAGTGATCCTTCTTCAGAACATTGAACATTGAACCCTAAAAGATTAACTCTGTTTCTCTACACAGATGCACTCAGACTTGCTGAATTTTGCCAGTAATTTCTGTTTGTGTTTCTGATTTCTAGCAAATGCTGATCTTTCGTTTTTGTTTTTGTTTAGACAACTTCACATTGAGTTCACCTCAATCCGTAACTCTCTTGTTTCGACTTCAATCCCAGGTAGCAACTTGAGTCTTGTTTATATTTACAAATTGTATCTGAAAAGAATAAACTGGGAATAATCAGACAACTTCCAAAAGAATATGAAAAACAACAAATTTGTGAAGCTTACTCTGTCAATTTTATTGGTTCTTACAACAACGTTACTTAATTTCAATTACATATTTCTCCAAATCCAATAATATTCTTACTTCCGAAGGATGATATACAGCCATCACTTTTCTTCTTTGATTGCTAGTGTAAAGGTGGTACAAGAACTGTCTTGCTACAGGCCATGCAATGCTTGGGAAACTTGGTTATGATCCCTCTCATGTGGGGACGTCCTTGGCCTTACTTCAATGCCTACCCATGGGAACAGGGGCAGGGCACAGCTTCTGACCAACTTCCTTATTTTGCTCACAGATAAATCCAGACTGTGTTACGATTATGGCAAAATATTGCTTATTAATAGTCAGCTTCCATCATTTGATTTTAATGTCTGAGACTTTCATCCTGAATTGATTTTTAAAGAGGATAAATGCTGATAAAGAGGCTGCTGTGACTACCTGACCATAGATTGAGACATGACCTGATGATTCATATGGAATACATTAAACCTATCCACTGAAATTACCAGTTCATCTAAAGACAAACAAATAATTCAGCATAATGAATGTCACATCTATATTGGGAGATGAAAGATTTGGAAAGACAATTGAACTAGACCAGAGAATACGCAAATAATTCATATTTCAGTAGCTTGGCAGAGCAGAGAGAATATGGATTCATAACAACATAATTTGGAAGGCTTGGTCTTGCTCTTTCCCTCCCTGTTTCTCTCAACCTCCAAAGTCAGTGCCCATTGAAAAAGCAACTTGGGAAAACAACTGAGAACTCTAGAATTCTATAAATGTCACTACTGCTGATGAACTAAGGCAACAGCTAAACTGTTACAGACTCAGATTTCACTCTCACAATTCCAGGACTCTGAGAACTTTAAACTGCATCTGCTTTCATCTTCCTATTTATTTTAGCTATCATCTCCGCCTCTCTTATTTTAACAAGTCATTACCTATGTTTGTGTGTACATTTAATGTTGTGATTTTATTATTAGGTAACAGAATTCCTCTTTCTTTTACTTAAGAAAACCTTGGAATTGACTTGTTTGCTTTTCACTGTATTCCTGTACCCCGTACAGTACATATGACAATAAAACCTAAATCGAAATCCAACTATGTTCTAACTGAGAGATAGTTGAAGGGTCTAGGCCCGAAACGTCAGCTTTCCTGCTCCTCTGATGCTGCTTGGCCTGCTGTGTTCATCCAGCTCTATACCTTGTTATCTATGTTCTAACTGAAGTGTGATAGCTGCATGTTAGAAAAAAAACCTAAAAGATTTTAGAACAGGGGATCTAAATACTCTTCCTCACTTGGTCACAGAGACTGGTAGAGAAAAACCAAAATCTACAGAACGAAGTATCAGAATTATACCAGAAATGAGAGATATCAGTTTTGTGGAATTATGGTGTTCTTCTCAGAGAAGAAAATGATCAAAGGAGATTTAATGGAAATATTCAAAATTATAAGAGATTCAGGATTGGATGGGGTCTTGAACCCAGTGAGAGTCAGCACCTTCAGGAGAGGAGGGGGAGCTGAACCCCAGAGAGAGTCAGCACCTTCAAGAGAGGAGGGGGAAAAGAGAATAAAACATGACAGCATTGATTTAAAGTTTCCTTGGTTGGCTTCTGGTATATATTTAGGTTTGCCATCATTTGCATTTTATAAAATGTTCCAGCCAATCAGAGTTTAATGGCTAAGAATCAAGTATCAGTGTTATAAATGACCTAAAGGATCAACCAAAAATAACGTCTAAACACCGCAAGCAGAGGTGACTACAGAAGCAGGGGGTACTTGAAACCAGGCTTCATGGGTCAGAGGCAGGGATAGTACCACTGTGACATACGAGCCCTGATGGAGCAGCCAGAGTTCCAGTGTTTATTAACAGCAGGTGATGCACAATAGACTTCTAATTATTGATTAATTTGGTCATGGATTTTTAAAAGAACTGGGGTCCCAGGCTGTGCATTGGGTTAAAGCATCTGCCAACTGAACAGGAGATCCTAAGTTTATATCTCAGCAGTACCTATGTGCTATTTAATGGGTCATTTGTTAATTTGGTGGTGAGTTTATTTTGAACAAAAAAGTTAGGTACCTACAGCCATCAGTAGATTCATGCAGTGGGATGAGGAGCAGGGCTATAGTTCCCATC